AAGAACAAGAAGCCTCCTTGTAAAGGGGGGGTTGAAACTCGGTACGCCCTAAATGGGCTACTAGATGCTGTCGCGAGCGCGTGACATAGACCGCACCCCCTGATTCTAAGGTAAAGGCACACATTGCACACCCCAAACCCTACAAACCCTAAACCCTAGCTCTAAACCCGAAACCCTAAACCCTAAACCCCCAACCCATGTGTGGCCAGAGCCAGGCCGCTCAGCAAGCCGTTACCCCCTAAACCCTAAACCCTAAACCCGAAACCCCAAACCGCCAGGCCGCTCAGCAAGCTGTTACCCCAGCGCCGGCTGTGCCGGCGGCCACGGCTCCAGGGGCTCCTCCCGTGGTGCAGGCGACACAGGCGACTCGCGTGCTCGGTTTAGGGTTTAGGGTTTAGGCTGTTAGGGTTTAGGGTTTAGGGTTTAGGGTTTAGGGTTTAGAGTTTCGGGTTTCGAGTTTCGGGTTTCGGGTTTAGGGTTTAGGGTATACTTCGAGGTTCCGATGAGCCTCTTAAGTGCCCTGATTGGGTTTTTCATTGGGTTATATGTACAGTTTTCGTTGGGTTACTAAGTACCATGAACCTCCAAGCAGCCGTCCCCGAACCTCTCCCGAAAGGTGCACTGCCACATGTTCTGTCCTACTGTAGGCCTTAATTCTTGGGGTGGTTGTTTGGGGGCAAGGTAGGGAACCCCTCCTGACGTTTTTGAGGGCTTTATGGGCTGTTGTAGCGTTCAGGCTGAGGGGTCCTGGAGTTAGGAGGCTTAAGTTTCGAGTTTCGATATCTGCCGTTTTCGGGTTTTGTGTTAGGGGCTGGTACAGGGCTTTCTGGTGGCTTGTGCCTTATATAAAATATACACCACCAAGGCTCCGAGACCGCCAAGGCTCCGAGACCCGCCCTGCAAGGTGAAACGCGAAGCCCGAAAGCCCTAACCCCTAAACCCTAAACCCTAAACCCTAAACCCTAAACCCTAAGCCCCAAAGTGCCCGATGTGTGTACATGTTCAGTCCCGGACTGGACGAGGTCCGGACGGGCAATTCGGCTGCGAGCCGCCTGGTACAGCAGCCGCAAGCTCAGTTAGCAGTTCGTCCTCACAGAGAGACCATGAGCCAGAGTAGGAGCTTATTACCTGTTCTTGCGGGGTTTAGGTTCCTCAAATAGCCCCTTTAAACCAAAAAGGGCACCCCTTGGATTCCTAGGTTACTCTCGGGTCTAGATACTAGATCCCTTAAGCCCCAACCCTAAAGCCCTAAACCCTCCAGTAAACTCAAAACCCTAGAACGGAAGTCCGAGACGGTTTGCCATCATCCCATGGCAGTGAGGTCCTGAGCCAAGACCCTTGGGGCGAGGGTATAGAGGGTAGAGGGTGTAGGGTTTAGGGTTTCGGGTTTTGTGCGGCTTGGGATTCAGGATGTTAGACGTTGAGCTGTACAGTTTCTAGGCTTAGGGTTTAGGGTCTAGGGTCTAGGGTTTAGGGTTTAGGGTTTAGGGTTTAGGGTTTAGGGCTTTCATACTTTTGGCTCGGAGGAAGGCTGAGGTACCTTCCCCAGGTCCACGCACGGGAGCTGCATGGGCTAAAAGCTTGCCATCCGCAGCTCTCCAGGGTTTAGGGTATTTAGGGTTTAGGGTTTAGGGTTTAGGGTTTAGGGTTTAGGGTTTAGGGTTTAGGGTTTAGGGTTTAGGGTTTAGGGTTTAGGGTTTAGGGTTTAGGGTTTAGGGACCTTGACTTGGTCCAAGACTTGGAGGTTCAGGGTACTTGTAACCCAATTCTAAATGTAGTTCTATCCCACTTATAAGCCCCTTAAGTACCAAAATCGGGTCATAGCTGGATCATAAGTGCAGTTCTTATTGGGTTACTGCGTCCCATGAACCTCGAAGTAGATCCCAGAGGAGGCTCTGATTCCCTTTTTGTTGGGGCGTTTAGGGTTTAGGGTTTAGGGTTTAGGGTTTAGGGTTTAGGGTTTAGGGTTTTTAGGGTTTAGTGTTTAGGGTTTAGGGGTTCCCTTTACAAGCCACTTTGTAAACCAAAACGGGGCGCCCTGTTACTTCCTTCGTTGCTCCTGGGTCTAGTGACCCAGTCCCTATATAGCCTTAGTTTTTAGTATTTTAGGCCCTGGGGGCTGGTTCATGCTATTCCTTATACCAGGGTATAGAACCTACAAATCCCAAAGCTTCACTTTTCCTAATCCTAAACCATGAGAGCCCATTTTTCGGGCCCCTTAACCCCAAACTAACACTCAAAAGCCCCAAACTCCAAGCACCTAAGCCCCCCAAGCCCCCAAACCCTAAACCCCAACCCCTCACCCCCCAGCCCCCCCCCATCCGCCCTCCAACCCTAAACTTGCCCTAAACCCTACACCCTGAACGCTGAACCCGAAACCCTAAACCCTAATCCCTAAACCCTAAACCCTAACTAAACCCTAAACCCTAACTAAACCCTAAGCCCTAAACCTCAAACCCTAAGCTCCTAAACCCCAAACCCTAAACCCTAACTAAACTCTAAGCCCTTAACCTCAAACCCTAAGCTCCTGAACCCCAAGCCCGAAGCCCCCAAACCCCCCCAGCCCCCTGATCAGGTAGCGCGGCTCCCGGATGAGGCCAGCGCAGAGAGCTAATCGGACTTCTGCGGTTTAGGGTTTAGGGTTTAGGGTTTAGGGTTTAGGGTTTAGGGTCCGATGTTTAGGGTTTAGGGTTAAGGGTTGAGGGTTTAGGGTTTCGGTTTGATTACGTTTCTGAGGGCTCAAAAGCCAAGGAGATCCGCAACAGGTGGAGGAGGCTTTTATCGGACCATGTCGCGTCAACAAAGCCTACAACATAACATTGGGGCCTTAACGACTGCAACAGGGTTTTGGGGTAGTAGTATCAATATGAAGGTAGCATCAATATAAAGGGACCATAAGGAAGACCATTACTTGGAGGGTCAAGGTACTTAGCAACCCAACTATAGCTGTACTTATAACCCAATCACAACCCTATTAGGGTACTTAAGGGGCTTAAAGGTTGGTGATAACTACACTTATAGTTGGGTTACAAATGGTTACAAGTACCCTGAACCTCCAAGCCCTAAACCACAAACCCTGAACCCTGAACCCTGAACCTCGTCCCTTCTATCAGTTGAGTTCTGCAGTTGGGCACCGCTCTGCTTGCTCACGTTGGTCTTCTGCCTTTAGGACACTTTCCTGCCGAAGAGGCTTCAGGTTCGGGACTTCTTGGTAGCCCAGTGGTCAGGGTTTAGGGTTTAGGGTTTAGGGTTTAGGGCCTAGGGCCCTTTTGCCCTGTCTGTTCGTTCAAGGTGGTTCCCTTAGAAAGTAAGAACCCTATCCCCGAAACCCTAAACCGGCCGACGGGAGGGGTGTAAACGTGGCCTTGGGTTGAGCACGCCAAGCTACTTCGGCCTTGATTTGAGCATGCCTGGCTTTTGGTTGCAAAGCTCGCGGCTGTGAGGTTATGCAGTGTAGGCACCATAAGCCCTGTAACTCGGACAAGCTACGATCAGAAGCCCTACAAGCCCGAAACCAAGACTCTGGACGCTGTAGATGCACACCCCCCTTTCCAACCCGAGCTCTAATGGTATTCCATTAGGGGATCCTTTATAATTATAGTATAATACTCCCCCGCCCCCCAAAGAAAAAATAGAAATAATGAATAGAACTGAAAACATTCTAATGATTAAGGCCCCTATATTGCTAACTCTCAAGCCTTCGTATGCAGACACACCCTCTAGCTCCTGCAGTCTCCACAGCCTAAGCCTGTGGGTTTGAGGGGGTATCTGAGACCTGAATCCCTAAACCCCTGCGCCCTGCACCTCCGGCACCACATGTACCCCCTAAAACTGGGGTCAGATACCCTCTACGACTACAATCCCTTTGAAGGCAATATGAACCACACACCCTTTGGACCCTAAACCCTAAACCCTAAACCCTAAACCCTAAACGAACACTACGTCTCAGGCGTCAGGGAAGCGCTGGCGCGGAACGTCGAGTGTAGAGTGCAGCGGGTTTGGTCGAAGATCACCTTGCTGTGGCAACCGAAGCCCCCAAAAATCCTTTTCAGGCCCTGAAGTCGTTCGAACTCTTTGAACTACTCTCAAAACACACATATATATATATATGGTATATATATATATGTATATGTATATGTATGTATATATATATATATCCTGGACCATTGGTTATGTGTCCCGAGAGGCTTTCCGTGCACTTGGCACGGGCCTCTGCCGCTAAGGCACTGATGCATCGTTTTTGCCAGAGGCCTGGGGCATGTGGGCGGCTACAAAGGGGCCGTCCAGCAAGGTTCCCGTCCCAAAGACAACCCTAAACCCTAAACCCTCAACCCTAAACCCTAAACCATGCCCCCACCCACAACAGTAGACGACAGACAGGGCACGCGCCGTGATCCAGTCACTTCCGAAAGGGCTGGGTCACAAGGCGCCTTGTGGGCTCTGGGGGTTATAGTAGGGTTTCTAGGGACTGCGAAGTACACTCATACTGATGGAAAGGAGCTTCGAAGTACCCCCTTGGCCCGAAACTTCAACCTTGTGACCCCAGGTCTAGCTTGGCCCAGCTCGGCTTAGCAAGGCAGCGGAGATGATGTTTTGCCGGATGGTCAAAAAGTCGCACGGGGTTCATGCATACCAGTTTTAATTCTGGGGTGAGCGTAAAGAGGTGTCACTTATAAGTCTGGGTGGGGGCATCTATTGTGTATCTGTAGGAGACTCGTAAAGAACCAAAACCCTGCATCAGATCTGCAGAATCTCAGAATTGGAACTCGCTGATTCTCGATGCGGCGGAAGGCCACTCTAAACCTTCTTCTTCCATTCCGAACTTCACGGAAACATGGGCAAGAGCGTCCGCCCGGACTTTTGCAGGCTCAAGACGAGCCATTGAGGTGTATGATGTTAATCTACAACTAAGTCAGCGGATAGCGCCTTCGGCACCAGAGGCGCAACATCTACCCACGCCAAGCTTCTAGGCACACCCCACTCCTCCATCGCCCGACGCCATGCCGACCGCGCTGCTCACCCGCACTGGCTGTTAGTCTCAGATTGCATGTTAAGCAGCATGGCATACGAGTGTTTCAACATGGCCGTGGTCCTGATATGAGATTCGGATACCATAAGCTTATACTCAGTAACCCAAACATAAATGTACTTCTAACCCAACTAGAACTATTAGGGTACTCAAGGGGCCCATAAGTGGCTTATAACTACACTTATAATTGGGTTACCCTATAGCTAAGCCCTAAACCCCCCGAAGCCCAGTAACTTGGGTTAGAAGTACCCTGAACCTCCAAGTAATCCTAGCCAGCGAGGAAGCCAACAAACATCGATGCCCAGCGTATCCTGGCCATCATGGACAGACGTTGTCTGATGGCACGGGAGTTCTTGGAACCACGGTGAAGGGTTTAGGGTTTCGGGTCCCGATCACCTGGAGTTCTCATTTTATTCATTTTTATTTCATTTTTTTTTTTGGGCGGGGGGGGGCGGGTGCACCTGACAGGCGGCATGGGGTTTAGGGGCTGGTCCAGGCCTAAACCCTAAGCCTTGAACCTTTGAACCCTGCACCCTAGACCCTAAACCCCAGGGTGTAGTACCACACTCTCCCAAACTTCTCCTCCTGGGCTTTGCAGCAACGGACAAGTGCGTGTCATGATGCGCCAACAACGAACAGTCCGAACCCCTTCAGCCCTGAAGCCCAAAGAAAAACTCAGGGGCCGTTCTGTTCCATCCTGAGCAGGCCATTCGAACTTTCTGTTTAGGAGTTGGGGGTTTAGGGTTTAGGGTTTAGGATGTAGGGTTTAGGGGGAGGGTTGATGATAGCTGCGGGCTCATTGGGACAAAAACAATTGGGTGCAGAGCGTCGACTTGTGGGGCTCAAGTTTGGCACTGTCGAGCATAGGGTTTGGGGTTGAGGGTTTAGGGTTTCGGGTTTAGGGTTTAGATTTATAGCCAGTACTCGCAAGGGTATAGGGTTTGTGTCTAGGCTTGGGCTTGGAGCAGGTTTTAGCTTAATGTAGTCAAAGTAGAACCCTTCACGGTAGTTCTCCGACGCCCTTGAAGCATCACTCGCACCTTCTCTTTGGAGGTTCACGTATACAAGTAGGGTTGTAAGTAACAATGGTTCTAACCTTATACCTTCAAGTAGACCCTCGCTCTCCGACGTTCTGAAAAACACCAACTGCATGGGTCCTCTCGCCATGCACGCCCGCGCGTTGTCTCAGGGAGCTAGCTCTTTGTGGGGTGAACACGCTTCAGCCTTGGGATGTTCCCCCTGATACTAACAGTCCTTAGTAGGGACTATAGTCCCCCCCTATGATAATCCCTATTAAGGAATGTTAGCATAAGGGGGAACATCCCAAGTTCAGCCCGGGAGACCCTGAAGCATCCGGGCCGGAGGACGAGCTCAAGGAGAAGCTCACCTTCCTGTCTTTCGTGTCTCCGCAGGCCACACGGGGGGGTGGATCTGTTGTGGGCTCCTTTGAATTCTCCATGTAGGGTCGTTTAGGGTCCATAGGGGTTTAGGGGTGGCCTGTTGAATTTTAACCTTCAACCCTAAGCCCTAAACCAGAAAGTGTGCAATATTTGTTGAAGAAAAGTCTCTACTTTTCCGGTCAAGCTGTTGGCCCTCCAAGGCGGCCCTGCCTGTTTCAACCCACAAGTCCCCAGAGCCTGCTTGGCTCAACGGTCCACATAAACAGAAAATATAAACAGAAAAAATATTGTACTTCGAGCATCCCCACCTTAAAGATTTGGATTTTTCGGGCACTCCAGGCAGTCTCTGGGGTTGGGCACTGGAGGCTCTGGGGTTGGGCACTCCAGCGAGTCTCTGGGGTTGGGCACTCCAGGGAGCCTCTAAGGAGTAGACCGGGCGAGGAGAAGAGTTCCGGGCGAGAAGAGTTGAGTTTAAAATCTAACAACCCCACACCGAAGGTGGAGAAAATAAAGAAAAACATAAACAGAAAAAAAACAAGACAAAAAGAAAATAAAATGTCAACAGAAGAAAAGAGACCTGGGGACCCAGGAAAGCCCTGAGACTTAGACCTTAGATGCTACAAACCTCACAGCCAAAAGCCCTAAACGTCAGGACCCTTAACGAGGCCCTGAAGACTTACCAACAGAGTCCCGAAGGCCAAACACCCCCAAGACCCTAGAAAGCCTACCAGTTCGTAAGCCTCCCACCGCAACCCTAAAGCCCTACACCGTAAAACTTATACCAAAATGCAGCCGATAAACGCCAGAAGGCCCAAATCAAATCCCTAACGCTCTAGGCCTACAGGCCCTAAAAACCCAAACCCGAAAACCGTAAAGCCTGAAACCCTCCAAACCCTAAACCCTCTAAACCCCGAACCCTCAAAACTCTCAATCCACAAAACCCTCAACCCTCACCAAACCCCCTAAACCCTCCAAACCCTGAACAGTCTAAACCCTCAGAACCCTAAACCCTCAAAACCATAAAGCCTCAAAATCCGGAACCCTAAACCCTCAGAACCCCCTATGCCCTAAACCCTCAACACCCTAAATCCTCAAAATCCTAGCCCTCAAAACCCTCCAAACCCTAAACCCTAAACCCTAAACCAACAACACCCTAAACCCTAAATCCTAAACCCTAAACCCTAAACCCTAAAACCCTAAACTCAGGTTCTCGCTGGCCTACAGGGCGAGGATGGCTCGGCCACGGTGGAGATCCTTGGGTCCGGGACCCTGCTCAGAAGATCTTTTGACTTGGTAAGACTACCTAGTATCCCCTGTAGGGGTTAGGGTTTAGGTTTAGGGTTAGGGTTTAGGGCTTAGGGCTTAGGGTTTAGGGTAGTTTAGGGTTTAGGGTTTAGGGTTTAGGGTTAGGGTTTAGGGTTTTAGGGTTTAGGATTTAGGGTTTAGGGTTCAGGGTTTAGGGTATAGCATCGACACGCTTGGAGGCGCCTGGGCAGCTACAGCTGGTGCTGAGGGTTGAGGGTTTGGGGTTCAGGGGTGTAGAAGTTGATGACGCAGGTTTATGGCTGGTTCTGGGTTTCCCTCCTCCCCTAAAGCCTAAACCCGCAACCCCAAGCCCTAAACCCTAAACCCTAAACCCAAAACCCTAAACCCTAAACCCTAAACCCCCTAAACCCGAAACACTGAAATGCCCACGACGTACCCTCAAGTGGGTTTGGCATTTTCCCACAGTGCTTGGCGGACGCGTGGGCACCCCTAAGCCCTAAAGCCTAAACTCTATAAACCAACGGGTTTAGGGTTTAGGGTTGAAGGTTTAGGGTTCTTGTTCAAGGTTCCCTGAGAAAGCCACCAACCCCAAAGCAGGATGGCCCTTATCATAAGATGGTTACTGGGCTACCCAGAAGTCGAGGGTTGTTAACATCTCCAGGGCCGCTAAGATGCGTAGGGCTGTTAGGGTTTTGAGGGCTTAGGGTCTCCCCCTAAACCCTAAACCCTAAACCTTAAACCTTAAACCCTAAACCCTGAACCCTTTTCTAAGTTTCTGTTCGAGGCGTGGAGGAACCTGTTCCAGGTGGCCCGAGACCCTCACGAGCAGACATTAGGCGAGCAGACAAACGCCTGCAGTCACGCAACCCTCAGCCCTAAACTCCTACCCCCCCCCCCCCCCCCCCTACCATACGAACTATAGTGAAAGGAAATACAACCGCAAGTTAGGAACCTAATAACCCAATTTGCGGCCCTTTCACTCTACTTACAACTTTTGGGGGCACTCCTGGTAGGTCCTAAACTCCTACGCCCTATACCCCCCACATACCCCTAAACCCTAAACCCTAAACCCTAAACCCTAAACCCTAAGCCCTAAGCCCTAAGCCCTAAACCCTAAACCCTAAACCCTACACCCTCCCCTCCTTGTATAAGCCCTGAACACAATCCCAGGCCAGAGCTCATGAAGTGCTTCGCCGAGCAGCTTAGGCCGCTGTTAGGTTTTTTGGGGTTTTTTGGGGTTTCAAGGGTTTTAGGGTTTCGAGTTGGGGTTGTAGGGTTTAGGGTTCAGGGTTTCGGGGTTTACGGTTTGAGGTTTTTAGGGTTTTGGGGCTTCGGGTTTCGGGTTTCGGGTATGAAGATTTGGCATTTTGGAAGGAGGGCAGTGTAAATGTGAAACTCGGGATCTAGTTGGGTGGTTGTAAAAATTATGGTCCCTGTTTAGATCCCTATTATATTACGGCACCGAAATATTTAGGGTACCCCAAAAGGGATCATAATTTTAACAACCGCCCAGTTGGAGCTCTTTTTTGAGGGTGTTGGGGCATCGAATCCTTTTCCGATGTGGGGTCTTCCGGGGGTCTCTCATGTTCCTGGCGCCCGCATCGTGCTGTTGTGGCCAGTTAAGGGTTTCGTGCACAGCGCGGGACCCTGAAGTTCTCCACCCTCGGGCGTGGCAGCCCCTAAAACCCCCTTTCCAAAGATGGGGGTCGACGGGCTCCAAGGGCGTCAGATACGAAACGCACGCCCCCAACCAAAACCCCAGAACCCTACCTGTTACTTACCCCCCGAGTGGCCGAACTGCCAGCCCAGCTGTGCGCCATCGCACAGGAGGGCGGTGGGGCCCTAAACCCTATAAACCCTAAACCCTAGACCTTGGTTTCTTCTTCTTTGTTGCGGCTTTGGGTTTAGGGTTTTGGGGGCGGGTTTGGGGGGAGGGGGGGGGGGGGTAAGATGGACGCTTAAAGGCTATGCTGCACGTGTGTGCCTTGTAAACAAATACTTTACAAAGAAAACACCCGCAGAATAGACGCAACGCGCCCGCAGAATAGACGCAATGCACCCTTAGCATCAGCACACTGTGTCCCGGGCGGGGGCGCGGAGGGCGCGGAGGGCGCGGAGGGTGCGGAGGGCGTCCACGTGTCCCCACTCCCTTGCCCGTCAACGGAATGTCACGCTCCCCATCCGTGCTCCCCCCCCCCGAACCCGTCCGTCAACCTCCAGGCATGGTCCACGCCTCCCCACGCCACCCCTGTCCCAGCATAGTCCCACTTTTAGTGGGGTTTTGACGTAGTAGTGACATGTTTCTGTGAATCTTTCATCTCAAAGTTCAAAGTGGCAAGGGTAGAAGGGCGCACATGGACTGGACCCTGTGCCGCGCTGTGGGGGTTGATCTTTTCCGGGTGGCCGTATATTGGCTAACAGAATACAAGAACGGCACTTGTGAGAAGGGCGTGGCTAAGAAGGATCAAGTCATAGGACAGTGCCAGCGAGATAAGGAGGCCTGCTTCAGAGATCTAGGTGCAGCTGAGACTCGACGTGATTGTCAGCACTTGCTGGCCATCGTGGCTGGTTTTCTTGGTGGTTTGATCTGCGGCGTGACTCTCTGCATATTTTTGTGGTACCGACTGCTGCGTGCTGAGCCGCCGGGACGTGTTACTACACCGCCCGTGATTGACGCTGTTCCATTGAAGCTAGGCCTTTTTGAACAACAGGCTGGAGATGTCAATGTCGACCCCGAACCCTCCGCAGTGGCTGCAGCAAGACGGCGCGCTCGTGCGCTTCCGGGATGATCCAGATCTTTTGCACTTTCGCGAAGTCGTCAAGTGCACAGAGGGAAACCACTGTTTCGTCCTGACTCCCGATCGGGACTTGAACGAGGTGGACCTAACATGTTCGTGGAAGTGAAGAGGATGCAGCCAGGCCGACTGCCGAGAGGCATCCGTGATGCCGACACTTACCTGCCCCGACACAGCGGTGGAGGAGAGTTCACTGCTGAAGAGCTCAGACACTACGCCCAGGTCGCTGAGAAGCTCAGTAAGGGCGGCGGTGCACATGTTCGACGTGTGGGCAAGGTAGGGACAGGAGGACTGGATGTGCTACCTGGCGGCGCGCAGCAGCCGGCAGCCCAGCCACTCAGCGAGCTTGCCTGGATGCAGGTCTTTGGGGGCTCTCCTGGCTCTTTGGGAGCTGAGGTCTTTCCGCCCCCCGACAGTGCAATCGTGAACGCTGGGAGTGACAAGTACACGATCTTCGTTGATGGCTTGCAGGGAGGCCAGGTGGTGCTGGCGAGACAAGTGCCGCGAGCTGGTCTTGAGGCCGCAAAGAGGCTCTTGTCGCCTCCTGACAACAAAGGATCTGAGAGGGATGCGCGGGTGCTGCCCGTGCTTTTCGACTCTGCAGAAGAGCGGTGGCGCACTGTGGCAGAAGCGGTGCCGGAAAGCGAGGAGGTGGACTATGAGGACTTCCCTCTGGCTGGGCCCCGCACCGTGATGCGAGACATGCGTCAGTTGAGGCGGGCCGGACAGGACTTCCTGCAGCACCACGAGAGCTGGATCAAGAAGTCAGGCGTGCGATCAACGGACAGGTCAGTGCATGAGCATTCTAGTTAGTTTGTGCAGGGCTTTGCATCTCATGATCTGCTATGACCAGTTGAGTGCTCCCGCCCTCGCAGCTGCAGAGGCGTTAAACAGGCGCCGGGCACTCATTGAGTTCGCCCACCATGGGCGCCCCGAGGCGCCCAGCTATGAGGGTGCTGAGGACCTGCTTGGTGTGCGGGAGGCCAGCGACGGCGCCATGATCGACCCTGCTCTCACCTCTTTTGCCGCGAAGAAGGCAGCCAGCAAGGCCGAGGTCCTCAAGCAACAGCGCTTGGCTGCCGAAGAGAAGCGTCATCGGCGCAACCAGGCTGCTGTGACAGAGGACGAGGCCGGAGCATCGTCAAAGGCAAAAGCCAAGGGTCGGGGCACGCCCAAAGGAGCCCATGAAAGTCCCTAAGCCTGTACAGTCCCGGGGGTATGACAGTGCTGTGCTTCCGGGTTTGGGGCATTTTGATGGCACTGCGGGTTTTTGTAACAGCGCTCAACATCGGCATGGGGATCTTTTTCCACTACCTCTTCCGAAGTCCGAGGGCTATGAGGGAGCAGGATCTGAACTGCGATCGAGGAGGTCGCAGAGAAGGGTCAACTTCCGCCATTTTTCCTTTTGTCGAGCTGAGGCCAGTCTCAATCAGATGGCCGGTTTTGTAGATGAGAAGTCTTGGCCTCAACGACCCTTAAACCGTGCTCAGGCTGAAGGGCTTGATCACATTCTTCGTTGTCATATGCAACGCGCAAGGCCTGTTGAGGACATGAGTGACCAAGAAGCGCTTCGGCAGCTTCTGGCAAGAAGGGCTGGTTATGGAGACAGCCCAGGGGCACTGGCTAGTTTGGTCCTAGAGCGTTTATCTCTTCCCCGAGGGCAGAGTGAACCAGTAAGCCTTCTAGACGTGTTGCCGGAAGATGAGGTTCGCAGGGTCCAAAACTTTGAAGACGACATGATGCTCTCACCAGAAGAAAGGGCTGCAGTGCTTGAGCAAGGCCTTCAGGGAGAGTGTCACATCGACCCAGTCTTGCTGCATGATACATGGCTGTATCATCGGTTCATTGCCGAGCTCTATAGCTGCAACCTTATACACTTTACCGTCAAACCTCGTGTGCAGATTGGTGCATTCGTTGTTACAAAGAAAAACAACAAGCAACGACTCATCATTGACGCCAGAAGAACAAATCGTTTGTTTCGTACCCCTCCCTGCACGCTCCTCGGGTCCGCAGAAACCTGGTCGAGGCTGGAGACGGGGTCAGATCAGACGGTCTTTGTAGCCCAAGAAGATGTACGTGACTACTTCTACCGCCTGGGCATCAGTCGGGAGTTGGGAGAGTACTTCTGTTTGCCCGAGATCGATCCCCACATCCTAAACCAGATTCTTGGTGAACTACCAAAGGAGCTGGCAGAGCTGATCGACCTGAGCGCGGCGCCCATTTATCCGTGCATGGCCGTGTTACCCATGGGCTTCAGCTGGGCTTTCCACTTGGCACATAAGGCACACGTACATATTGCTTCCTCGGCTTTGCCTCACGTGAACCTTATGCAAGATCGTACACCGATCCCAAAGCTGGGTGCCAAGGGAGAGTCCAACACCACGGCAATGTTGATTTATGCAGACAACAATAATCATGTGGGTACAGATTTGGACAAGGTCGCTGCCGACCAGGACGCTGTCATGGGTGCCCTACACCAGCGAGGCTTGGACACTCATGACGTGACGGAAGCAGCTAGCCTTGCAGAAAGTCTTGGGGTCAGAATAGATGGGATGGCCGGACATGTGCTACCTACACCAAAGAGAGATTGGAGACTGGACAGAGCTTTGTCGGCGATATGTAGAGGAGTAAAGCTTTCCGGTCAGGAGCTACAAGTGGTGATTGGGCATGTCACAGTCCGCTCCTTATTGCACCGGGGTTTGATGGGCATCATCCGCTACGCGTATGCCTTCATAGAGAAGAACTACACTCGCCGTACCCGAGTTTGGGGTAGTGTACTTCAGGAGCTTTACCATTTTCGACACTTGATGGTCTTAGGCTTCGGAAATTTCAAGCAGGCGTGGAGCGACACCATTTTTTGCACGGATGCTTGTCTTTCTGGGTATGCTGTAATGTCTAGTGTGCAGGGGTCCGACACAGCGCGGACTTTGGGGAGGCATGATGAGAGATGGAGGTTCCGTTTGGGGAGTGGGAAGCACCTGGCGCCGCGTCGCCAGGCGCTCGACACGAGCATGGTCTTCGAGGATCCCTTGACTGTCAAGCCCGAAGTTGACGGAGAAGTCATGGGTCATGTTGAGGTTGATCCCCGCTTTCCCGATGTCGAACCATCTGTCATGAGTCAGGAGAAGTGGCGGCGAGTGTGGTGCTGTCCGGTACACCATCGGGAGCCAGTTCACCTGATAGAGGCGCGAAGCATCTTAGGAGCAGTGAAGCACATCGCTCGGGACAGTTGCCGACATGGGCAACGTTTTGTCATTTTGACTGATAACATGTCCGTGGTCCTTGCATTGCAGAAGGGGAGATGCAGCTCTTTCAGTCTGTTGCGGCTCATCAGAAGGATCAGTGCTCATGTTCTGGTTTCCAATATTCGTCTTTGTGCTCGGTGGGTTCCATCCGAGTGGAATGTTGCCGATCAGGATAGCCGAAGATGGGAGCCCAAAGTAGGTGTACGCAAGAACGAGAATAGCCATCGAAACCTTTTTGAGAGTGCCCTGCTCAGAGATTTTTCGGCAACGCATGGCATCCAGACGTCCTCAGAAGAGGAAGGTGGAGGTCTTCACCCGAGACGAGGCGAAGGCTGCAAACCGCCGCATGCAGTCGTCCGGTCAGCTCCCCGAGAGGGACGTGCTGCAGAAAGAGAGAAGTTCGTCACCTCTGAGATCGGGGAAGCCGAGCCGGGCGGACCTGAGGAGCCTCTTGGCAAGCCACAAGAGGCGGCAGCAAAGGGGCATCCAGCGCAAGAAGAAGTACGAGGCTCGTTTGCGAGCGACCAGGGGGGAGCGTGGACTCCTGGAGCAGAGCAGCGTGCGAGAGCCGCAAAGGAAGGACTACTTGAGCAAGTTGGAGGGCTTCTACAGCTTCGTCGTCCAGTACGACCTCGCTCTGTCCAACGAAAAGGAGCTGGACGAAGCCTTGTGCGACTACGGGGACATCCTGTTCCTAGACGGCTACGGCAGCAACTTCGGCGAGAAGCTGATGGCGGCGGTCGAGTTCGAGCGCCCCGAGTTCGCCAGGAGTGGCATGCTAGCCGTGCCTCGCTTTCGCAGGAGTTTGAAGGGCTGGAGGAAGCTGGCCCCTGCGCAGACAAGAATGCCCATGCTGGAGTTCTTGAAAGGTGCGATCAGCGGGGTGATGCTGAAGATGGGGCAAAGGAGCATGGCGCTGTACAACGAGGTGACCTTCAGCACGTACGCGCGTCCAGGAGAGATGATGCGAGTAAGTGCCGAGGATGTCCTGATGCCAAACCACGAGTTCGACAAGGCGGTAATCGTTTTGGGGCCACTCGAGCGGGGGGAGTCGTCGAAGGCCGGGATCTACGACGAGGTTCTCATCCTCGACGATGTTCGAGCCCCTTTCCTGCCTTCACTCCTACATGCACAGGCGTGCAAACAGAGGATGGAGAAAGGTGCGGAGGCGCCTTTGTGGGACTTTACGGCCAAAGCCTACCTCAAGACTTGGAGGGAGTGTGTCGTGGCATTGGGCATTCAGCAGCTTGCTACCAGCCCATACCAGAACCGGCATGGGGGAGCGAGCAGAGACCACTTGCAGCGACTGAGGAGCGTAGTAGTGACATGTTTCTGTGAATCTTTCATCTCAAAGTTCAAAGTGGCCCGCCCCCCCGGCCCGGGGAGTACAGAAGCAAGGCCTCTGATTCCAATTTCACGTACCGCCCGAGGCGGCTTTAGGAACTCAGAAGCCACGGATCTCTTTTGATACAGAGCGATGCAGTGTGCTGCACACAAAACACGCGTGTGCTCTGTATTTCATCTAGTGAGTCACTGCGTAGTCAAAATGTTCCGAACCCCCTCCCTTGACCGTGTCGTCTCCGCGGCCTCCCGTCAAAATGTTGACCGTCTCCTCTTCGTGGCCTCTTTCGCCAAAAAGCGATCCGGTAGAACGCCTTCCGCGTTGAAGCGCCAAACGAGAACCCAAGAACAGAATTGGTTTTCGGGAAGAATCCAAGAAAACAAAGAGCACGCGCAGAATAGACGCTAAGCGTCCAAGGCACGGGGGGGGGGGTTCGGGCTTAGGTGGATGAACTCTCCAAGTTTGTCCAAAGCCGGGCCAGACGGAAGGCAACCGAGTAGTGTGGCGGGTGTAGGATTTAGGGTTTTGGGTTTAGGGTTTGGGGGTGTGCTGGGTGTTTGGTGCTTCGATGTTTACAAGGAAGGCCCCACCCCCCTTATTATACTAACTATAGTTTAGGGCAATGCGACCTAGGTTGCGATCCTCCCAATTAGGGGCTCTCATAGCTCTACTGTTAACTAGGGGGCCCCCTCCTTGTAGCGGGTTGGAGTTTAGGGTTTAGGGTTTAGGGTTTAGGGTTTAGGGTTTAGGGTTTAGGGTTTAGGGTTTAGTGTTTAGGGTTTAGGGTTTAGGGTTTAGAGTTTTCAGGTTCTTGTGTGGAGCAAGGTATTGAACAAGGGCACTGGTGGAGCGGTCGAAGCTGACTTCGGCTCTTCACGCTCAGTGCCAGTAGAGTTCCTTGTTAGGGTTTAGGGTTTAGGGTTTAGGGTTTAGGGTTTAGGGTTTAGGGTTTAGGGTTTAGGGCTTGGGGTTTAGGGTTGGCTGCCAAGCTCGCTGGAGTTGGAATGGGGTTTGTGGCTTAGGGTTTTGGGTTCACAGCTCAGGGTTTCGGGTTTCCGCCCGACCCTGCGCCGCAACGTAGCCAAAGCCCCGCCCAAATCCACACTTGATCTGCATGGTAGAGAGGCTGGGATGCCCAGTAGTACCCTTATTCCCTTTTTGGGTAGGTTTAGGTTCCCTTATCAACCCCTTTAAGCAAAAAATGGGCACCCTTTATCATCCTAGGTTACTGGGCAACCTAGGAGGCCAGGGATAAAGCAAGCCAAGCATTCGACAAGGACCCGAAACCCGAAACCCGAAACCCCAGAAAACTGCAGCAGGTTGGAGGACCTCTACGTAATGGCCAGCAACGGAGAGGGAGGCGTCCAAGAATTGGGATGGTTATACATACCCTAAACCCTAAATCCATAAACCCTAAATGTGGGGTGTTTCTTTGGGCTTTTGGGGGGTTCTACGATCTTTGGGGGGGCAGAAAAGGGGTACATTTTCGGGCTATCAGGGTGTTCCTTCGTAAGGGATTTTTTGTGGCTATGCCATATGAATGGGGACCCACAAGCTTAGGGAACTACGCGTTATGACTATCACTTGCGTAGGTTTGCAAGAGGCCATCACACGCCACAGCAAGTGCTACTCCCCCAAGTTTAGGGTTTAGGGTTTAGGGCTTAGGGTTTCAAATCCATCACCACCCAAAAGCACGCAGAGTTTTCACCTTTGCCAGAGCTTTGACATGCCTAAGAGCCCCTCAAGCCCAGTAATAATGGAGAAATTCGGTGCCTCTATCCACTTCTCTCTTGGGGTTTCGGGGTTTCGGGGGCTCAGTGCTCTTCCCAAGGGTAGACCTTAAAACTGCATAGGGTTTCGTAGAACTATTGGTGAGTGACATGTCTTCAGTGTCCTTTTGGGGATGTTAGTAACAGTTAAGATGATCCGTTCTCCCAAAAGTGATATCATTCTCCAAAGACCCAAAGTGGGGCCTTGTTCCATCTTTTTGCTGGGTTGGCCAGTTCCCTTGTTTACCCTTTTAGGAGGCCAAGCAGGGCTCTTTGCTTTCCTAGCTTCTGGGTACCCACATAGCCGTACTTTGCCGAACTAGCCTGCACCCTAAACCCTAGACCTCCAACAAATATGCCAGTATGCAGAGAATGACCTGAAGGGCAAGTGCAGAAACGCAGCCATCGAGTGCTTAAACATTCTGAGGTGAAGTTCTTGGAGTTAGTGCTACTCGAAAACCCCAACTTCTTGGAGATAGTGCTACCCCAAAAACCTTACACAGTACACCCTGAGCCACTCAACCTTTGCACTGGTATCCGGCTACAATGCACACCCAGAGGAGACTGAAACCCCCAACACCTAACGCCGAACCTCTAAGCCCAACTGCGCACGATACCCAAGATGTTTATAAATTATAAACCCTATAAACCCTAGTCTCGGACCATTAGGACTTCGGGTCCGGATTTTATAAGTTTCTGGTTTAGGCCCCCCTCCTGATGGAACCCTACAAACCCTAAACCCTAAAACCCTAAACCCTAAACCTACAGACAATCGAAGGGATCTCTGAGCACCAAGACCGCCTGGATGCAACACACCGAATCCCCCTAAGGGCTCTACACCCCCAAGCCTGGACCCTAAAACCTAAACCCTAAACCCAACACCCCAAACCCCCTGAACGTCTAGAGCTCAGAGCGCCAAAGAAACCCAAAGCCCCGCAAAAGATCACCGGAGCCCCCAAACAAACCCTAAGCCCGAAAAGTACTAGAGCCTTAAAAACCCTAAAGCCCTAATTAAACCCTAAACCCCTAAACCCTAAACCCCTAAACCCTAAACCCTAAACCCTGAACCCTGAACCCTAAACCCTAAACCCTAAACCCTGAACCCTATCCGGACCATGGTTTTTCGGGCTGACCTGCTTGGTCATGCGCCTTCTCGCGGCACTCGGGGCGCTGGCCTGTGTCAGGGCCTGCCGCCTTGGCGAGAAGCAGGTGGGAGGGTTTAGGGTTTAGGGATTAGGGGTTCAGGGTTTAGGGGTTTAGGGTTTAGGGGTTTAGGGGTTTAGGGTTTAGGGGTTTAGGGGTTTTAGGTTTAGGGGGTTAGGGGTGTTAGGGTTCAGGGTTTAGGAGCTTGTTTTGCTTCTGGGCGAGGTGGGCGGGCGGGCGAAGCTGTAGGATTGTTTAGGTCCTTAGTTGGATCCTATAAACCATAAACTTCAGGAGCTGGACTGCCGAAGTGCCACCGGCTGCCTGGCCGCCGCTCTGGGTGCTGCGCGGGCAGGGCTCCGTTGTGCATCCGTTCACGTGGAGGAGGGGGTTCGTACTTGTGGGTTGAGGATTTAGGGTTTTGAGGTTTAGGGTTTAGGGTTCTCACGCCAAGTTTGCTTGAAGTTAAACCTTAAAACCATAAACCAAGTTTCTAGCTGCCAGCACGCTGCGCGCAAGCTCAATACCTAACTTAATAATGTTGGTGGATCGGAACTCATGAATACTTCAATATTTGGGATCATGGATCGTTTTCTCAATCTATAGTAAGAATGAAAGTTTAGACTTGAGGCTGTTTTAGACAAGCTCAGTTCGTCCACCGATTTGCGGTTTTCGGGTTTAATGTTGCCCACGTTGTGCATGGGCGCGCCCTTAAACTTTCTAATGGTGTAAGGGGTTTGTTGCGCAGAGATTCCCTTGGAGGCCTAACCCCCCTGGGCTCTTGCACCCTATAATCCTTACTTCCCAAGCTCGCAGAACCCTGAGGCCCTAAACCCAAAGACCCTACAAGGAGGGGTCCCCCTTTATTGTACGAACTATAGAGAAGGGTGTTATAACCTAAGTTAGGATCCTAATAATTTTCCTCACAACCCGACTTATAACTAGGGGATTCTCTCTTTGTAGACCCACAAACAAAGACAGGACGCGCACTTCCTGGTGGCGGCGGCATACATCTCGACACCCAGCACGGTCATCACGGGTTTGGCCGAGGTCCACTCCGGGAATGTACTTGGAGGTTCACGGTACTTATAAACCAATTCTAAGTGAAGTGATACCCCACTTAGGAAAGCCCCTTAAGTACCCTAAGAGGCATTAGAACTTGGGTTATAGGTACTGTTATAGTTGGGTTGCTACTTACCCTGAACCTTCAAGTGGTCCACACTGCGACTCAGGGTTTCGGGTTTCGGGTTTAGGGTTTGTCGGGGTTGTTTAGGGTTGTTTCAGGTTGTTTCAGGTTGTTTCGGGTTCAGGGTTGTTTAGGGTTGCTTAGGGATGTTTAGGGTCGTTTAGGGTCGTTTAGCGGGCTAGGGTCTAGGGTTGGCCCAATTTAAACCCTGCTGCGATGGGTAAGGCTCTTTCTGTTGCTTGAGGCTTTGAATTTTGCTGGCGGAATGACAGACAACGGCTTAAGGTGTTAAAACAGACCCTAAACCCCGAAACCCTCAAACTCTAAACCCGAAACCCTAAACCCCGAAACCCTAAACCCCAAACCCTAAACCCTACTCCCTAAACCCAGCCGAGACACACCTTTCAAAAGAACAAACCTCCGCCGGCCACCCCAGCCACACCTTTCTAAGAAGCAACGAGCCACACCGTTCGAGCAAAAAAAACTCCGCCGGTTGTTGAGGGCTGTCTGTGTAGTTAGGGTTTAGGGTTTTGATCTTCCTGGTGAAGAATTGACCGGGTTTAGGATTTGGAGTTTAGGTCGTCTTGGGCTTCAAGCTTCCCTTACAAAGTAACCAACCCCAAAAGGATACCCTCATCATAATTGGCATACCAAGGTTTAGGATCGCGGGGTTTAAGCCAGCCAGTCCTTTTATATGCTCATTTGAAATACAACCCTAAACCCTAAACCCTAAACCAGTTTTGTTCCTGGGTTCCTCTGAGACAGCGTAGCCCCGCGAGAAAAAGGCCCCCCCCAATCCTGGCCTCAGTCTTTACTTCTAGTGGGACCCCTCAACCCAACAAAGCCTCGAGCCCCCAACCGTCAACCCTACAAGCCTGAAGGACCCCCAAAACCCAACCCTCCCCCCCAAAAAATAATAATAAATAAATAAAATTATATACATATATATATACACATATATGTACAATGATAATCTTATTAATAGTAAAAGTCAAAGTTCGATTCTGCGCTACCCTGAGCCCTGAAGGACCCCTTGCTGCCGCTAAATGGCAGCCGATTTCTTCCCGACTTCCTTTCCAATCTGCCACCGGTCCGTTTCTCAACTCTTGTGGCTGCAGGGCTTGGGGTTTAGGGTTCAGGGTTCAGGGTCTCGGGTTTCGGGTTTAGGGTTTAGGGGTTTCCTAAGCCGGCCTTGTTCAGTTCTTGTTGGCTTTGCTTCCCCCAGAACCAGTAGAGCTGACGACCCTAGACTCGAAACCGTATAACTTGGCAGCCCAGTGGTACCCTTTTCCCTTTTTTTTGTTTCAAGGTTCCCTTACACAGTAACCAACCCCAAAAACGGGTGCCCTTATTTAAAATTTGGTTACTGGGCTACCGGGACAACCCCGGTCCTCAAAAACATTTACTAAATCTCGAATGTATGTCCTCTCCTAAAGGCTCGCGAGGCCTTTGATGTAGGGTCTAGGTGTTGCCCGTATACCTACGGAGTGCATCTCAGGTTGATGCCTGGTGTAAGGAGTTATTCTGGTTTATACCCAAAACCCTGAAACCCGAAAAGCCTAAACCCTAAACCCTAAACCCTAAACCCCAAACCCCAAACCCTAAACCCTAAACCCTTAACCCTAAACCCTAAACCCTAACTGAAGCCGAATTTCTGGATGGTCGAGCTTGCAGGCTCGCGGAGTGTTCAGGATGTTGGGTCGTGGACTTCGGGCGGTTTGTCCTAAACTTATATAAGCCCTAAACATCATAGTTCGCGCTTAGGCTTTAGGGTTTAAAGGGTAGAGGGTTAAGGGTTTAGGGTTTATAGTGTTTAGGGTCCTAAAGCCCTAGAACCCTAAAAGCCCTATGGCTAATACCGCGACTCGTTCCGTTGCAAGGCTTCGACCGCCGCACTCCTGGCCGAGCAGGCGCATGGATCTGCCCTATATCCTAAACTACGCTTTTGATTCTCAGTAGCTGAATGAGTACACTTTACACTTTTTGGGGTACCAGAATCCCCTATAGAACTGAACGTGTACACTTTTTTGGGGGGCCTATGAACTCAGCAGCTAAGGATTTGCTTACGAACCCCAAGACGAACCCCAGTTTGTTTAGATTTTTCAATGGGCTTTTATGCAAATAGTAGTAAACCTTGAGACCACCTGGGGTTCGTGGCTCAGGGTGCTTTCGTTTCACGCTTGGGGTTTTGGGTTTTTTAGGATACAGGGGTTAGGGTTTAGCAGGGTTGAAGCATGCTGCGGGAGATTGGCGTTTTCTTGAACACGAAGTTTCGGGTTTAGGGTTTAGGGTTTTATTAAGTGAGATGTTCCAAGGTAGGGTTTCAAGTTTGATTGGTTTGGATGTGTGGAGTTCGGGGCTTACGACGCGGGATATCAGGTTGATATAGCGCGGGGTTCCGAACCAAAGTATTCCCCGGGGTAAGGTTTAGCTGGTCTCCACTTGCATCCCCTTATCATGGGTTTATCCCTTCAGTGCCATCAGATACCTAGGTCCGTTAACAGGGTACATACATATCTTTATATCTAAATATCTAAATATCTAAATATCTATATATCTATATAGCTATATAGCTATATAGCTATATAGCTATATAGCTATATAGCTATATAGCTATATAGCTATATAGCTATATAGCTATATATCTATATATCTATATATCTATATATCTATATAGCTATATATCTATATATCTATATATCTATACATCTATATATCTATATATCTATATATCTATATATCTATATATCTATATATCTATATATCTATATACATCTATATATCTGTATCTGTATCTACATATATATATATATATATATATACATATTAGTAGGGGGATCTCACATAATCCGGGTGGGACTCGGGACAAAAAGATTGCCTCAGGGCGCCGCGCTGGTCGCGCCGTCTCGGCGTGCGGTGGGTACGGAGATGGAGGCAATCTCAGCTTAGGTTATAGGGTAAACCCTAAACCCTAAATCCCAATTAAATCCGAAACCCTAAACCCTAAACCCTAAGCCCTACTTGGAGGTTCAGGGTGCTTGTAACCTCATTGTAAGTGTTGTGATAACCCACTTGTAAGCCCCTTAAGTACCCCAATTCAATAGGGTCATGATTGGGTGATAAGTGCAACCATAATTGGATTACGAAGTACCATAAACCCCGAATGGGCTTTGGTCGTTCCGCAGACCAGAGAGAAACCCTCAAGCCGCGCACCCTGAAGCGTAAACTTCTTGAGGCCTCCCCCCCCCTCTCCCCCCCCCCCTCGGGACAAAAAGATTGCCTCAGGGCGCCGCGCTGGTCGCGCCGTCTCGGCGTGCGGTGGGTACGGAGATGGAGGCAATCTCAGCTTAGGTTATAGGGTAAACCCTAAACCCTAAATCCCAATTAAATCCGAAACCCTAAACCCTAAACCCTAAGCCCTACTTGGAGGTTCAGGGTGCTTGTAACCTCATTGTAAGTGTTGTGATAACCCACTTGTAAGCCCCTTAAGTACCCCAATTCAATAGGGTCATGATTGGGTGATAAGTGCAACCATAATTGGATTACGAAGTACCATAAACCCCGAATGGGCTTTGGTCGTTCCGCAGACCAGAGAGAAACCCTCAAGCCGCGCACCCTGAAGCGTAAACTTCTTGAGGCCTCCCCCCCCCTCTCCCCCCCCCCCCCCCACCCCCCCCCCCCCCCACCCACACCCGGCACCCTATCCTCTTTGTCCTCCTCCCCCCCCCCCTCGTCACCCCTGTTCAACACTGTCCGCCCTTGCCCCCCCCGGCACACCCTCGTGAGCCCCTCCCCCCACCGCCCACCCTCCACCCCCCCCGCCCCCCCCCCCGCCCCCCCCGCCCCACCCCCCCCACCCACCCCCCCCCGGCAAAAGAAACGACAAAGAACATTGAATGACTAGGAAAGCGAGTCACTAACCCCGAAGCCCTAGGGATGTACCCTGAACCCAAGCCCCCTTCTTCAGGAGGGTCATTGTACTTAGTAACCCAATTTTAATTGTACTTTTAACCCAAGTATCACCCTATCAGGGTACTTAAGGGGCTTCTAAGTTCTTGGTAGCTACACTTTTAATTGGGTTTCTCTGTACCCTGAACCTTAAAGTGCCCCTAAGCCCTAAACCCTAAACCCTATACCCTAAACCCTAAACCCTAAACCCTAAACCCTAAACCCTAAACCCTAAACCCTAAACCCTAAACCTAAACCCTCCAAAACCCCCCTTCCTTCAGGAGGGCCATGCCCCAGTCTTCGCCACGCTGCCCTGCCCGCTCTGCGCCGCCATGGCCGACGACGCATCCGCCTGGAGTCGCCTCCTGGGTAGATTGAGGGTCTCAGGGTTTAGGGTTTAGGGTTTAGGGATAGTTGGTGAAGGGTTTAGGGTTCAGGGTTTCTCCTGGGTAGATCTTAGTAGCTGAGTGAGCACACTTTACATTTGTTGGGATACTAGAATCCCCTATAGAACTGAAAGCTTACGCTTTTGGGGGGGCTTATGAGCTCAGCACCTAAGAGATTCAGGGTTGAGGGTTTGGGGTTTGGGGTTGAGGGTTTCAGGGTTTAGGGTTCTTAACTTTAAACAAGATGGATAGCAAAACTCAGTTTCATTTCCTCACAACAGCTGGTTGCTTTCAGTTTAGAGTTCTGCATGTTATTGCAAAGGAAAATGATAGAACTCCTCGAATCTGCTCTTTCATGATTTTCAGCATCCAAAAGTCCAAGCAAATTCAAACACCATCCAAGAGCTAGATTCCAAACACCATCCTTCAAGATCCATCTCGAGACTTTAAACTAGGATGCCCAGTAGTACCCTTATTCCCTTTTTGGTAGGTTTAGGTTCCCTTATAAACCCCTTTAAGCAAAAAAGGGCACCCTTTTTCATCCTAGGTTACTGGGCAACCTAGTAAACCATCTCAGACTTTTAGCAAGATTTACAGATGCCCGGAGCAGCTTCTCTGAAGACTGCTTGGAATGGGCTCCGCCCTTCGATTGACGTATTCTTTGCATTCTTCTGTTCTGCGCTGTCTCTCTTGCCAAGCCTGTTTTGCAATTTTAGCTTGAAATGAACTGGAAAGAATATTGATGGTTTCTTTTAAAAAAAACCAGGAAAACCCTCAACACACCAGATATGTGTTTCGCTCGCTTCGCTTGCGCTTGTCAGAAAATTCTGTGCTTTCTACTTGCAAGCCGACACAAAATCGACACCTGTGGGATTCGAGCCCACGCGGGGAGACCCCATCGGCTTAGCAGGCCGATGCCTTAGCCACTCGGCCAAAGTGTCTTCTGACACACACATGGCCAGAAACTTTCAGAACTCAAAAGAAGCTGGGGTTGCAAGGTGCACATGCCAAGAAAACAGAGACTGCCACAAGACTTCCCTGACTGCTGCATGGAAGTTCTCACAGGGAAAACAACCAAAGAACGAAAATGAGGCCAGAGAGATTCGAACTCCCAACCTTCTGATCTGGAGTCAGACGCGCTGCCGTTGCGCCATAGCCCCTTAAGTTGCAGCCATGGATTTGTTCTTCATTTTTGTTTTCGACAGACAATGGACTGTTGCAGAGACTACGCTGCTCGAGGCGTCTCGACTGCACCAACCAAGTCTTTCGACTTTCGATTTCCGACTTTCTGCTTTCGACCTTCGGCCTTTCGAGCATTTAAAATTACGAGAAAAGGTGTTTTGATGACTGAAGCCGCACACGTTCATCTCGCAAACAAAAGATCCAGTTTGTGAAAATGAAAACAAGCACCCATGGTCTAGTGGCTATGACGTCAG